AAACCAAATGTCAAACACGATAAATATCTGAAAGTATCATCAACTCCTAATAAACTCATAAAAGAAAAAAAAGTACCAACCTAAGCGTCGTTTTAGATTCTGTTTCTGGCGAGCCAATCTCTCTTTAGGATTCTTTGAGTTATCATTTGCAATATCATACTCCTGCATTGGAAAAGGAATCAAACGTTTTCATTAGCACAGAAAATGCTATAAATTGAAATTAATACACAAAACGACCAATGTTGCGACAAATTAAAAAAAAAATTATTAGAGGGAGGCATACATTATAAATCAAAGAGAAAACTAGTAGTGCCAGAGAGGAGGAACAGGGGGATGCGGAGAACTATAGAAATCACCGTTAGTATCTAGTGCCCATAAGTAAGCTTCTAGAGAACAGAAGTGATGGCTCTAACTTAGAGCTTTAAAAATAATGCATTGAGAAGGTTATCAGAGGCAGATTTAATAAAATTTTTGAATAAATAAAATCATCATCAGTTATTTCAAATAATTTTCATCTAAAAGCATTTTTCAAATAGTCATATTCCAGCAAAACCTTTTAGTCCAGCTTCAATCAACCAAACAAGCTACTAACACTGACTTGCAAACCTAAACAATTATTTCAACAAGATTCAGATAAATGTCAAGATAACATATGACTATTAAAATGATGCTAGTTGTCATAATCAGAATAACTACCATTCAAAATATACTTTAAAAAGAGGAAACAATGTGAAGAAAGGCAATCACAATTCTCTTTAATTCTTTTTAGCTCTATTGTTATTATTATTATTATTATTATTATTATTATTATCATTATCATTATCATTATTAGATAACCCAGAAAACCGTCTGAATAGATGCCATATTATTACATAACTTAAGTTTACACACTTCTCTCTATTCAACAAAAACATCCACAGGAAAACTGATAAGAAAGGATGGGAAAAGGTTCTTGATCTTGTTTACAAAAAGCAAAGGCATTTCACAACTCCAGAGAAGAAAAATAAAAATAAATAAAACAAATATGAAAAGCTACTTTACAAGAAATTGAAAGAAGAGAGAAAGAAAGAAACCAATGTCAAATAAAGGAAATCAGAAATGTGCATCAGCCAGAACAAAGACAGAAGATTCTAACCCTTGACCATTTATCGCTAGAAATAACAAGAATGGAAAGAACGGTGCTGTACATTTACTGAGAAATTAACAAAAGGAATTAACTAGAAAATTTTCAGTATAACATGTGGAATTTTTTTCAAGGTTATTAAATCCTAATAAAGAATACTACATGATATTTAGACTAAATCCTTCGGCTTCAACATAAAATGGAGATCATTTACCTGTCCACCTGAGGCCAACAAAGCCCCAAACTCCAACACCTTGTTGATGTCAAAGCTGTTAAAAACAATTTATTCAAAGAAACATATGTCAGTAAAGAAGACAACTAGATATTGTTTGGAGAATCGCATAATTAGAAAGATGGAACTGAAATTAATGACAAGCATAATATTTTTCCATCCGAGGAAAATTTTGGTACAATAGAAAATGGTAAAAAGAAATCTCATAAACAACCTTCTAAATGAAACACCTGCCACAATTTTAGAATGTAAGTCAGGTGATGCCACCACATCTTCAACACTAGCAGATATCCCAGCCTCAGTCATCTTTGCTCCAACAGAAGACAATAAATCAGCCAGAGAAGTGTGCTTAACATTTTGAGCAATGGCTCCTATGGCATGAGCAGCAGCAACCCTTGTGTCCCAATTTTTACTACGAAGATACTGAGAAAGCTAATTGCACAAAAACAATATAGTTTAGGTAGATGATTAAGTACAAAACATAACAATAACATGCAACTGACAAGTCCACCCCAGAAGGATAGTCCATGGTAAAAAGATGTCATAACAACAAAAAAAAAAAAAAAAAGGTAGAAATACATAATTAGAAAATGTAAATTTCACACTAGAATTAAATAAAATAACCCTAACTAGTGCTAGCTCAATCCCTATACTAGTAGCAAAACGCAGAAAACTTGAGAACAGCTCAAAAGTTAACTCAACTGTTCTGCATTTTGATTACAAACGTCCAAGAAAAATACCTTTCAAGCTAAAATTTAATGAAGAATCTTCAATTACAGCCTCAATGATTTTTCTAGGTTGAAAAAAGAATAATTTAATAGAATCTTGCAATGCAACAATTTAAAATGTCTAATTTCTAAAAATTTACAGTTTAAAAAGAGCAATTAGTGAAGCGGCCAGCGTGCAGGGGAAAATGGAACAAAACATAGAGACAGCAAGAGAGGTCTAAAATCTATGGCATTCAAAAATAGTATTCTTATTTATTTTCCTTAAAACAACAAGAACATCCAAGCATTTTGATAAAATGGGTCGAATTCCACCTTTAAGCCCTATAACCAGAACCATATTTAGAAGTTAGGAATGTTGACAGCTTAGGATAAGAAGAACATAGGATAAACTTCTCACAATCCTAATTCAAGCAAGGTTTAAACACCCAGGAACTTCGAAATGTTGCTGCCACCTAAAGTCTTTTAAGGTCATAAATACCACCAAGCACAAAAACCACAGAACCGGGAAGTCCAGTGGGCCTACTAAACGACTTCAGCTTATTTAGGTATTCTTTGCTAAACAACTAAACTCAATTGCATGGAAAACGACCAATTTCCAATTTTGTCAACAATCGCATTATTCCAAAAATAATAATAATAAATGTCAAATTCAATCTTGGCAACCGTAATATACAAGGATTAAGCGTCTTTGCTTCCTCCAAATAATCTTTAAAAATACAACAACTGCATTAAATCCAAAAAATCAGGGAGAAATGTTAGCTTTTTTTTCTTCCTCAAAATGACATAAATTCCAAAAAGCTCCAAATTGACCAATAAAAAAACACTTATTACACTAAAATAATTGCTAAGAGTGCATAAAAATTAAAAGAAATTAAAAATCACAAATTTGAAATCAGTACCTTCTTGAGAAGAGAATTCAAGTCCTGCGGATGCGATTTGGCAATATCCCCAATCTGTCTTGCCGCAGTGAATCTCGTCGCTTGCGTTGAACCAGCTTTTTTAAACAAAATCAGTCAAAGAAACAAAAGGAAAATGCTTATTGAATTTCGCAAAATTTCAATCAGATCCAAATTAAAAAGAAATAATTCAAAATATAAAAAAAGGATACTGTCCAACAAAGTGAGTAAACGATTGAGTCGCGAAGATTGTTGCTGAGCCATATAGCTGAGACGGCGTCGGATTACAATTCTCCACTAATTCTTTGGCATCGTCTTCGATCATTCAATTTGAAATATCGAAAATTTTTCGCTTCTCGAAGAAAAACAAGAAAGCTTGGTAAAAAAAAAAAAAGGAAAAATGAGAAAGAAGGGAAGTGTTGGATTCGACGTCGTTTTTCTCAGTGGAATCTGCTTGGCTTTCGTTTTCGGGCACTCCTTTGTTTTATTATATATAAGAGAATGGAAATAGAAGGTAAAGAGGGATAGATGTGTAAAATTAGGGTTACCAGCGAAACGGCGGTGACGTTTTGGTGATTTTAAGGAAGAAGATGACGATGCATTTTTTTTTTTTTTTATAAATATATGTCGCAAATTTAATCGTAAAAATGAATATATTGTTTTCAAATTATTATTTTTATTTTATGTATTTTTTAAATTATTACTCATTTTTATATATTTTTTATTTTTGTTGTTAATAAACCATAAAAAAATCTTGCCCTTTTGTCTCTCGAATATTGATTTTTTTTTTGGTCAAATTAAAATTTAATATTTATATTTTATTTGCTTCCTTAAAAAATTGGTTTGTGCAAATAATTTTGACGATAGCGGGTCAGGGCCGCTCGTTTAGTTGGGCCAACCGCCAACCAGATTGTTATAAAGGAGCCGGAGCGGATGATTAATATTGGAGCCCATTCCGGCCCCCACAGCTTGGCTCCGCATTGGTCTAGGCTTGGACAAAAACTTTGAGTTCAAATTTGGTTCACATAATTTCAAATTATTTTAATATTTTATCAACAAATTATATATAATTAAATAAAATATTAAAGTATATTTAATATATAAAAAAATAGTAACAATGAATGTTAATTTAAAAATAAAAATTTTTACCTTTTCTTGTTAAAATTATCTATGTTCAAACTTCCATTCATTTTTCTAAAATAAATGTAAAACATTTTATATTTTTTCTAAAATAAAAAAAATGGGTTAAATACTTTTATGCTTTTGTAACCTGTATTTTTTTATTTAAAAAAATTAAAAAAATTTCTTTAAAATTAAAAAATGAGATTCGAGTTAGAGTAGAATTAAAACATTAGAAAAACAAAAATAACCTCTCAAAGTTAAATAAATCTATGGGACCAACACCAAAACTTTTACGAAAAAAGCAAGAATGGAGATAAATTCTCTTTTTGCCGGATGAAGTAATCATCATGGCAAAATCCACAATACAATAAAAAAAAAAACATATCAAGGAAATTAAAATTAAATTATATGTTTTTTTAAGGAAATCTTAGTTTAAAAATAAATAAATATAAATATAAGTTTTTAAATTTTAAATTTATTATATTATTTATTAAAAATAATTATATAAATCAATTAAATCAAGTTTTGTTTTAAATCTTATGCTTCTTTATTTAGATTTTAAACCAATATTTAATTGTAATAATTTTAAGATAATTTATTAAAGTTGATTAAGACAATTCATTGAATTGAGATTTGGATAAATATTTTAAGTTTGAATTATTAAGGTTTTATTAAAAAATGGTAAAATTCAATATTTAAAAAAATTATTAATCATGATTTTATGCCAACTAATTGGATTGATCTATAAGAAATGAATGATAAAATAAATTAATATTCTTTTTCTAATAAAATGAAAAAAAATCACCACAATAAAATGAAAAAAAAAAAAAGTAGTGCCAAAAAAAGCAGAAGAAAAACAAAAGAAGAATACAGTAGGAACTGTCTTCACTTTCTTTCTCTTCTTTTTGTGCCACCCCATTTGCTTTCTCGTTTTCTTTCAAAGCAAAACAATTGAATAAAGAAAAAGCAACCAACCATTACGACTTCATAGCTGTTTTTCTAAGCCAAAAAAGTAAGCAAAAAGAAAGAGAAAACACAGAGCAGAAAAGAAAAACAGAGGATTACATTTTGCTTTTTTTTTTTTAATTGCTGATCTATTTGTATTTGGCCCATTTTCAGAATTCCCTTCAGTTTCAATTTCCCAAGTTTTAAAAGCCCCGAGGTTTCTGGGTTTTTCCAGGTATTGTTGGGTTTTCTATCTCTTGCTTGAAAGTTTTAAGTTTTATGTGATGGAAAGTTTTCAGCTTTGCTTAACATTTTCTTCTTTTGAATTAAATTTCCATCTTTTTTTGTTTGTTAGTCAATTTCATACTCAAAAACTCTTAATTGTTGCTTTTCAGCTATTGGGTTGATCTTCATTTGATTGCTCTGTCTTTCACTTAATTCTACCTCTAAGGTGAGTTCACAGTTAAATTTTGTGATATATTTGTTCGCTTTGGATCCAGTGGGCTGTTTTATTTTTAATTGGTTCTTTTTTTTTTTAAAACAGGTTGGAAATTGAGAAGAAATAAATTTATATATATAGTGAGAGATGGGGCTTGAAAGATTGGAATTTGGAGTTAGAGTTAGGAAATTTATGGTGATATCAGTTAAAACATGTCATAGATCGGTTCGGAATCATCCATTTTGGGTTGGCTTGTTTTGTTTTTTGATTTTTTTGAATAGATCATTTCCTTTGTTGTTTTCTGTATTGGTTACCGCATCTCCTGTTTTGGTTTGCACTGCTGTTTTGCTTGGTACTCTTTTGAGTTTTGGGTCACCAAATATACCCGAAATTGACGAAAAGGAAGAAGAAGAGAAAGTTAGTCATGAAGTTTCACAATTGAAAACTGGGGCTACGGAGGATGATACTGTTTTCGAGAGAGGTGGTGGTGATGATGATTTTGTTGTTGAAAGATATGTAGGGAAGAAGTGGGATATTGCAGACAATGCTGATGAGAAAGATAATTTGGTTGATAATGAGGTCAGTGAAGCAGAGGAAGAAAATGGTTCAGTTCGCTATAAGCCATTGGTTGATGAGGATTTGGATTCTAGGGATATTCATTGTAAGAATGGGATGATTGATGAGTTGGAGGGAACATTGAGTGGTTCATTGTTGGAGAAGAAGTGGGAAATTCGGGAAGAGATGCTGGTGAGTGAAGGTGTGTTGAGTATGGGAGAGGCTGCAGATGATCGACATCTTTTAGCAGATGAGGTAGGAGATAGGAATCTTGAAGTGGAGGATGGTAAACGCAATGCAGGTTTCAGTGATGTACCAAGGGTTGATGAATTGGATTCTTCTCTGGTGTCATCTTGGAAATGCACCGCAGATGATGAGGATGATGGTGTTGATGAAGATGATGATGAATCTTTGGATTCTGGTTCTGATAGTGCTGAGAGTTCTTCTCCTGATGCTTCAATGGCAGATATAATTCTGATGCTTGATGAGTTGCATCCACTTTTGGGCCCTGAAGCTCTACACCCAGCTCAGTTATCTCATGATCGTCTGGATTCTGCCTCAGAGAGATCTCATGGCAGCAATAATGATGAAAGTGTTAACTTGTATGAGTTAGAAAACCAGAGGGAGGAAGATAATGATGGAGAGGAGGATGAAGGAGGGGAAAAGGGAGATAAAGAGGATGAAAGTAAATCTGCAATTAAATGGACAGATGATTATAAGAAGAATCTCATGGATTTGGGGACTTCAAAGCTTGAAAGAAACCAACGATTGGAGAATCTTATTGCAAGGAGTAGAGCCTGTAAAAACATGAGATTGATGGCTGAGAGGAATCTAATAGACTTAGATAGTGCTGATATTCCCTTAAACATCACACCAATTTCTACAAGACGGAACCCATTTGAACTTCCATATGATTCCTACGATGACCTAGGGTTGCCTCCCATTCCTGGCTCAGCTCCATCCATTTTGCTGCCAAGAAGAAACCCTGTTGATCTTCCTTATGACTCAAGTGTGGAAAAATTCAATCTTAAAGGAGACAGTTTCCAACAAGAGTTTTCAGGTTTTAATCAAAAGGAAACAATTCTCCAAAGAGAAGCCTTCTTTCGAAGACATGAAAGCTTCAATGTTGGACCATCATCTTTAGGTGTTCCTCAGCAAGAGCTTAACTGGAAACCTTATTTTGTTCCAGAGCGGTTAGTAACAGAAGGAGCTAACCCTTCCCCATTCCAAAGGCAGTCAAGTGAAGTTAGCGAGTCGAAGTTGAGTTCTATTCCTTATACTGAATCAGTGAGTTCAGTTCTGGATGAGGAGGACAAGTCATATGAACAAGATGTTTCTCTAGAAAATGAATTGATTGTGAATGAAGATCACGCTTCTGTCCATGATGAACAAGAGAGTGAAGCGTCTGGGGATGTTGAACAAGCCGATAATAGAGATGTTCATCATGATGTGGTTGAGATCGTATTGAGAGATGAAGAAAGTCGGTTGGAAATGGAATCAAATTTGTCTGAAGCTGGAGCAACTGCTCATGTGGAACTCAATGCAAGTGAAATTGTACCAACATCTCATGTTGGCCAAGCCGAGAATAGAGATGTTCATCATGATTTGGTTGAGATCACATCAGGAGATGGAGAAAGTCAGCTGGAAATGAAATCAAATTTGTCTGAAGCTGAAGCAACTACTCATGTGGAAAGCAATGCAAGTGAAATTCATCCCAGAACAGATCCAGTTGAGGAGGATTATAGCAGTAGATCAAGTTTGTCCTCGTTATCAGAAATAGATGAAAAGATATCTGCTGTCAGAGGAGATGGATCTGCAGGTTTTGACCCCAGAGATCATGAAATTAAAGAATCTGGCATTTCTATACAACCATCATTTGAGGAATCAGAGTTCCATTTTACAAGCAGGGTGGTTGATGATAATCAGCATAGTGAACCTGTTTATGATTCAAGTCCTCTTAAGAAGTTCCTATCATTTTCATCTGTATCTTCTGACACACAAGCTGAGATATCTGAGATGGGTTCACCCTCAATGTTGGTTGAGTCTACTGATAAGGAACCTGAAGGGCATGGTGAAACAACTGAGCAGGGTGCTTCTGGTTTTCAAGAGATGCATGCAGCATCCTTAGATGTACTTAATGAAAATGAACCAAGGGCAAGGGATCTCCCGGAGATTTGTGAACACGATGATACATATGCTGGTTCATCGGGGGTTTCTTCCACTTCTGCTGGTCATAATGTATCAGTGGTGCCTGAATCTGTGGTTGAATATGTTTCAACAGATGCAGGGTCATCATCTTCTGACAAGGGATTGGAGGAGGATGTCCCAAATAAGGAACAAAGCTTTACCAAGAATCAAGTGGACTCATTAAGGATGACTCTTGCTGTTGACCAAGGAAAGGGGGAGGTGTTGAATTCTTCACCAGCAGTACAACAGCATCAAATGCACCCCAATAAATCTTCACAGGCTGAACCGGGAGATAGGCATGCAGTTGATAAGGAAGACACTAAGCTTGAGCGAGTTGAAATCCATTCATCAAGTTCATCAGAGGATAACTTAGTTGAGGGCAGTGTTATGCCCAAAGAAGAAATTATCCAGACTGAATGTGATCAAATGCAATCTTCAAACTTTGCTGCAAGTCTTGATGTTGATGACCACCACGATAAGGGTGAGGAGTTGTCTTCCATGGCTTTGACTTACCAGCATATGCCTTCCAATTCATCCACAGCAGAGGAATCAGGTCAGATAGCGGTGGCTCAAGTTTCACAAATTGACCTTTTAGAGGCTAGCCTAAGGGAGGTGCATAAAACGGAATCTGAAATGGATCAAGTCCAATCAGCATGTTCTGATTCAAAGATTGATACTGGTCTCGGCCATGATATGAACATGGAGGGAATTCCTTCAAACTCTAGTTATCAAGCTATGCCTTCTAGAGAAAACCGTTCACCAGAATTGGAGAAACAGCTGTCGCTGTCTGATAAATCTATGGATGAACCACACATTGATGAACATGATAAGCTTGAAGTAAGTTACGCAAGTATTTCTTCTATTTGTTTTCTTATAAATTATTTTGCATATTTATTCTTCAAAAATTCATTTCATTTTTTAAATACTGATGCTTACTTTGATCTCATTGGATCAAGTTCTCTCAGTTATGAACTTTTTTTGTGAGCTTGGAGTTTGGTAGAAGTAAAATGATAATCTATCCTCTTTGTTTTTTCATGCTATCTTTTTTTTTCCTTTTCTGTTCCTTTATCCACAAAGGAATTGATGGTTGTATAAAAATAACCTTTAATGCCAGATATACGAGCAAAAGAAAGTAGTCAAGTTGAAAGCAATGATATTATTCTTGCATCAAATAATGATGTTGAAGTAGCTAATTAAACATGGATTATGTGATACTCATATATTTGCAGATGATTAAGATTTCATAGAGCTGAGTGATTGATTTACCCAGTATGAAATGTTCTTATTGCATGTATGCTTAAATACTGTGGCGTTTAAGCAATTTAATGCATTATTTATTTGAATTTCCTTGTATATATCTGAATTTTCTCAGGAGTTGAATTGTTTGCTTCCGTTGCTATCACATGCATCCCTTTTCCTCTAGCGTGCTTGATAGACATGGTACTATGGTACCCTGCATTTCACACTATGTAGCTCAAATTTTATGGTATTTATGTATCCTAATTGTAATTAAATTGGTGATATCAAAACTAACTCTGGCCACTCTGATTTAGGAGCCATCTATAATTGCAACTGAGTCTAGAGGGGAAGTAGACATTGTCAACAGTGATGTTAATGTACATAAAGTTCATGAGTCCGAGGACAAACTTTCAACAAATTCTCTTCTATGACTTCAGAGTCCACTTCTTCTCCTGCTGCGAGTCCTGAACATACATTGCCAACAGATCGAGAAGATTTGAAAGACAATATCCTAAACAAAATTGAAAGTGAGGGCCCCAACGAGGTATCAGAACACTTTAATTATGCAGCAGAAGTATATGCCACTCATGTTGATGAGGAAAATATAAGTGAAGAGGAAGATGAGATTAAAGAGATTGATGAAGGAATCCTCTTTGAATTGGATACTGTAGGGGACTTTAATGTCAAGGAAATTGGTTTACCAGAGGGATCTCATGTTGCCTATACTGAATCTGCATTGTTACCAGAAAATATTAAAGGCCGAGACTAATGTTGAGCTGCCTGTTCTTGAAGCAAGATCAGTAGAAGATATTGATTTGGCTTTCAAGCAACTTCATGAAGGAGTAGATGTTGAGGAAGTAATTCTTCCAAGTATGATGAGAATCTGCAGGATCATACAGATACCAATTCAAGATTACCTGTTGTTGAGGGAAGATCTCTGGAGGATATACATGATGCTTGCCAACAAGGCCAAGAATCTAATCCAGCTGAGCTGCCACATTATTCAGACTTAAGGAATGAATCATCAGAAATAAAGCAGCTTGAAGCAAGACCGGTTGAAGATACCAATTTGGCTTTTAAGCAACGTCATAAAGGAGTAGATGCTGAGGAAGTAATTATTCCAAGTATGCATGAGAACCAGCAGGATCATGTCGATACACATTCAAAATCACCTGTTGTAGAGGCAAGATCTCTGGAGGATATACATAATGCCTTCCAACAACGCCCAGAATCTAATCCAGCTAAGTTGCCAAATTCTTCAGACTTGAGGAATGGATCAACAGAAGTAGAGCGGCATGATGTGGTTGCTGCTAAAGAGATTGAAGTCAGTGATGGAGTCTCTGTTACTCAAGAAAATAGCGAGAATGCTGCTAGCGAGCCAAAAAATGAATATGAAGAAGCATCAGAAAAATCAAGTCTAAACCTTAGAGGTAAGAATGCAAAACCGCATGACTCAAGTTCTAGTTCCAGCTCAAGCTCCAGTGATTCTGAATGAAAGCAACAAAATTTAGTTCTAAAAGAAAGAAAAATATAGAGTTTGGTGTCTTCAGTTTTCTTTTAAAATGGTTCTTTTTCTCCCCCTTCTTTGCGGAGATGAGTTTTTGGGTTTTCTAATTTGGTTACCATCATGTTTTTGATTAATGGTAGTCATGCTTTGTTGAGTTTTTGATTGATTGAGTGATTTCTTCAACAATGAGTTTTAGTTTTGATTTCTTTTTTCTTCTTTTTTGGTTTTTTTTTTTTTTTATGCCTTTCAAGTATGGCAGTTTGAGGTTTAAGATTGATTTGATCCTTGAATATCTTTGTAAATTATATCTTGGTTGTAGAAGTGATGAAGTGTTCAATTCTAATGTACTTGTACAATTGCTTTCTCATATTTTCCATCTTTCTCCTTCTACGTGTATATGTATTCTTATTGTTTCGCGATATATATATCACTTATGGAGGGAGATGAGAACTCCTGATCTCACCTTCCACCAGGTCAGTCTCTCAAGAAAACTTCAATTAGCTACAGGTTGTTCATTCAAGTCCCCTAAATCCTATCATCGATGTTCAAAGAAAGTCATCATTTTCTTGCAACGCTAGACACTAGTTGCTTCTTTAATCCTATTTTTCCTATTGTAAAAGCAAATATAAACGGTAATTCATTGTAAACTTATATTAGAAGGTTTTGATCATCGGTCTCACAATGGAAATCATCAATCCAGTTGCAACTCTTCATGTTTTTTTGCATTAGAAAATACATGCCAAGTTGGCGACTTGTGGCTGCAATGAGTATGGAGATGTGCCTGCCTGGTGCCTGCTTAGGCATGTTTGTTCGGGGTTAAAGAAAATGAACTCATTCTAGTGAATGGACTCTGGAAAGTGGAAAGCAGGGAAAGGCTGCTGGGTTTTCGCTTTTCCAGCTCAAATTCTGCAGCCAATTTTATGAGAGGAATATGTGATCTGTGCGTTTCTTCTAAGATTTATTATTCAAAGAACCTTTGGAAGAAAAAAAAAAAAAGACCCTTTGGATCTTCTAAATTCACATTTAGCTAAATCAGTTTTAAATTAGAAATCGATTTATGGATCTTTTATACCCCACAAGAACATCAAATAACAATCTGTTTAGTATTAATATTGATAAGTAAATAAAAGTTATCATAACCTGAATGTATCAGTCTAAAAAGCCATGAAATTTCAAGAGCGTGGACCAAGGAATGTTTTCCTTTGAAAAGCTTCTGTCCCTTTCTTTAGAGGGAGTGAGGAGAAATTGAATGAGTGAAATACCCCACAGGCACGAGTTAGCCTGGTTGGGATTTTATGTAAAGCAGCAGGACAGAACTCATACTCCAAATCAACAAAGCTGATTCACATCTTCAGGTTTGAACTTAGAGAGAGGGCAGAGGTTGCTTGAGATTGGAAAGCTATCTCATTCTGTGACTGGAGAGCCAAATACTCTTCAGATCATGAAAGAAAGAGAGAGAGGGTACAGTTAATCTATGATGAATTATAACTCGTCCTTGTGAACATGCACTTAGTAATCAATATGAATATCTATGTTGCATGAGCAGATAACTATAACATGAATCTATAGATAACGGCATTAAAAAAAAGAAAGAAGAAACAAACTAAGACTTTACAGTCCTAATGCTTTTGCTTTTTCTGTGCAGGCTCTGAGGAACTCCCAGCCAGACAAATAAAAAGACAAATAAACAAACTAGGTATACCATTTTCTCAACAATATGCCAATAAGACATGGTTATTAAGATACTAAAATGAATAAAAATTTGTCCTAAAGCCTTTAGCCTAGTGGTTAAAGGCGTTTGAGGGACATCAAGAGCTTGGTTTCGAACCAAATCTCTCCCCTCCCTCTTACTTGTACTAAGACTTTGCTCTCATGATGTAACAAAAAACAGAGAAATGAACAAAAATTCAAGACATTATCTAAATACGATATTTACTATGCTTGGTGTTAAACTAGAGGAGTAGGGAGTAGCTAAAAGATTTTAAAACCATAAGCATGACAAGTAGCATGCAATGGCACTCGAGGCACACCTTGAACACCCCAAAACTCGATTCCTAATTCTCCGAACTCTTCTTAAAGACGATAGTAGGTAACAAGACATAGAAAGGCATTTTTACCATGTTTGAGAAAATCATTAACCACAGGAATAAGAATTTACGAACTTTAAATGGATGAGAAACTTGGATGTTGCAACAAATTCTCATCAGCTGAAAGGCCTCGTGAATCAGATAACCAAAGTAATTACTTCAATCTTTGGATTTGTAGCTTGGCCTTTGTTCTAAAAGTGTATGGATAGCCTTACTACAAAGTAACTGATTATGGGAATTGATGCACAATGTTGGAAAGACAAATTCATGCAAGAATTCGAATGGTCCCAACCAGTAAAATCAAGACTACCGACCAAAGGGATCCCTTTATCTGGTAGTTAGATGTGATAATGACTTTATGCCTTCATTAGGTGCATCAGCTGACACCAGATGTTGTCCTAAAGCTGATGAGTAGGAGGAGAAAGGGCTTCAGGAAAGAGGGAAGGTAGGAAGCATGGCATTGGAAAAAGTTCTTTTTCTTCTATTTTCCTCTTCTTGGCTGTCGAGTAGCAGGAAGGAGAGGCAGAGAAAAACACTTGCCATGAACAAAGGATGGATTCCCAGAGCATGTTTGTAATCTGTTCATAACAAATTCATGAAACTTTATTTTACGACTATCCCTCATACTCTTAAATTCTAAGCATCACTGATCCTTTAATAATTCAGGTGATTCTTTCACTAGAAGTTAATTGCACGTGGGATACCCGACAAAACATGAGATGTCTCTTCTTTTTGGCAGTTTACCATATAAAATGTTCCTCACCATAAGTTTACCCATGATATCAGAAAAAGGGCACCATTCCGGTATACATGATGATGAGAAGGCCCTCAATACGTACAAGATGAGACAAAATGGCTTTTTCCCTGTTTGATATACATACCTTAAGATGGATAGTAGCCACTCTATTGGCTTGTGCTGAGTTAAGAGTCTCCATCATCTGTGTCAAGAAAATTCTAATAATGAAATATGCCACGTAAGAAATGTAAAGTGCAGTAGCTTATTCGTTTGCAGACTTTTGGGCTTACGAATTTCAAGATATTAGTCAAATGACAGCAAGTCGGCAACCATGTAATCCCGGTAAAGCTAATTAAATCTCTCTGTATAGGTAAACCCAGGTCTTCAACTGACTAACCTGAGAATATTAACCAGGAGAACTCATAGGGTGAGAAAAAAAATAAAAAAAATAAAAAATTGATATGAAATTATAGTGTTTAATTTGGTTTGGATATTTTTTTATTATTTGATTTGGATTAAATTTAAATATTAAATAAATATATAGATATATTAGGTTTGGATTGAATTTCATATTAAAAGGTGAAAAAAAAAAAAACCTATATTTCTTAATATATATATTTTAAATTTTTATAAAATAAAAATAATAATTTTATATTACAATTTATTCAAATATATTAAAATTTTACATTAAAATAATATTTTAAAATAATAAAATTAAAATTAAAAAAATACTAAACAGAACTGAATAAAATCGATAAAATTCGATTTAATTCAATTCAAATTATATAAAGATTTGATTCGAATTCATATTAAATTTTAAAATTCATATATTATATAACATTTAAAAAAATTAAATCGAATCTAATTTTATCCGAACTTATTTTCATTCAAATCATATGTAGAGATGAAAAAAAATTGAAAAATCAAAAAATTAATTCAAAATCATAGTGTTCGGTTTAGTTTGAATTGATTTTTTTTATTTAGTTCAGATTAAATTTGAATATTAAATATATATTAAATACGGATTAAAAAGTAAAAAAATCGAATCAAATCGAATCGAATTATATATATTTTTAATTATTATATATATTTTAAAATTTT